TTTCCATATGTAATCTGCATCAAATATTATTAGCACAAATAATATAATTTAAATTTATTTGTTTGTTTTAATCATCAAAATCTCGAGATTAATATTTGACCCTTGAGCCAACAAAGTATACCTCCAAGAAAATTATTTTTCAGAAATTATAATTTGAATATGTTTGTTATGCAAATCAACTTCTTCGAAAGTAAACTGCACTCAAACAACAAATTACAATAAAATCTATAATCTCTTAGTTACACATGCAACGTCTCAAACTAGAGTTGTTCATCACATGTGGTTTTTATACTTTTGTTTTCTTGTTATTTATTTGTTTTATTTGTTTTCCCTTTTTTTCTCCAAATAAAATTAAAGTAAAATGCATATGATATTTGTGTCTCAATTTCTTTCTTCTTTCGATAACTATTTTTAAATCACAAACTTAATATTCAACTTATCTTTATTACTATTTTTTCAAAAAAAAAATTATTTTTTATATTTAAAAAGTACAATTTTTTCCTTATTAACAAGTCTCCACAAGCCACCATACTTAACCTATTATGGCAATTTCCTTTATAAATTAACATGTTTCCTTTATAAATTAACATGTTGAATTGAAATACTTTTAAATTTGAATAACTTGTGATTGCAAATCATTCCCACCTACTAATTTCCCTATTTGCAATCTTAATAAAAAAAAAGAATCTTATGCTTGTGATATCATAGAAACTTTATTAGAAAAAGTCTCATTTCGTCTTCTCAATTTGGTTCAAATAAACAAGTTACCCAAAAAAAAGTCAGTTTTTTAGTCAAATTAGTCCAAAACTTGTCTAAATATAGAGAATTCACCATTTTTTGGACTAAAATTAGTAATGTGTGGTTATGAAACAATATTTAAAAGAATTAAGAAATATTTATCATGCGTTTAGTATTATCTCGTTTGGTTTAAAATGGCATGTCACTTCACAGAAAGTATACCTCCAAGAAAATTATTTTTCAGAAATTATAATTTGAACATGTTTGGTATGCAAAAATTATTTTTCAGAAATTATAATTTGAACATGTTTGGTATGCAAATCAACTTTTTGAAAAATAAATTGCTCTCAAACAATAAATTACAATAATATCTATAATATAAATTTGAGTATATTTAAATAATATAATAAAATAGTAAATTCATTGCACTTAACCGGAGAAGTGCAATTTCCCTAGTCATTCTGAGGAACTTACTTCTCTTATGTGAGAGAAGTTAGATGATCTAATTTCTGGAAAGTAAAATTGATAATGCAAACCAAATACAAGTACTTCATGAATAAGATTTTTTTTTTGGTCTTTGCCTCCAAATTTCAATTGCTCACTTCACCAATTATCTTATGCGCTTTTGATTTTTTTATTTTTCATTATGCACGCACCCTTACAAATCCAAAGAATTGGTAAATTGTAGTGACAGAGCCAAGAATTTTTCATAGGGAACAAAAATATACATGTTATTTCATAATATGGTTGAATAATTGGAATATACAAAAATATGTTGAAAATATACAAAAATATATTAAAATAATAACTAAGAATTAATGATGGTTATTGAAAATAAGATAAAATTTAATAAGGGTATAGTAGACAATTTAAATATTAACTATAATGCTTAACTAAATGCAAAAAAAAAAAAAAAAAAAAAAGTGAACAAAAAAAAAAAAAAAAAAAAAAAGTGAACTATATTTTGAGACAAACAAAAAAGAAAAAATGAACTATCTTTTCGGGATAGAGGAAGTAATATTTAAACACTATATAGCTGACAGATGTTTCTTTAGTGCTGCCACGTAAGATTCAAAGAAATAACATATACTCCTTCCGTCCCATTTTGTTTGTATGATTTGACAAAATATGCATATTATGAATTTAGTCAACCAAAATATTTTATCATTTTTAGCCTTAAATATTAATAAAAGTCTTTCATTTAATGAATAACCATAAATATTATTTGGGAAAAAATAATTGTCTAAATGTATAAATTTAGAAACCTTACAAAAATTTTGGGATATGTCAAAAAGGAATAACAAGCAAATAAAATGAGACGGAGAGAGTATATATTTAACTTCATGGTGCCTTAATTGTTTGCCTTTATATTTATTTGAAGTAAATTGAATTTACAATTGTCTAAACTTGAATTAAATTGTGATAAATATACAATTGGTTAATACAAGGACTCAGAATTAATAATATTAATTAATAATTTATATAGCTTTTAATGATAATTTATATTTTAAAAGTACGAAAAATTATTGTTTTATATTAATTTTAAAATAAATTGAATAATTATTTATTTATTGAATTAAATTATGTTAAATATAATTAATTAATTATAACTTTTTTTAGAATTATTAATTAATTATAACTTTAGATTATTAATAACATAATAAGGTGAGGATTTATATAGCTTTAAATTATTTAAAATAGATTACTTATTTTATGAGGAGTCATTTTTTATATTAATTCTAAAATAAATCAAATTTTAATGAATTCTACTATTTTTTTTATTTCACTTTCTTTTTCTTTATTTATCTTTATAAATTTCACCATCTTTAATCCATACTCTTCAACACCTATCTATCTATTAATTTTCTTACAACAAAAAAATCAAGATCATAATTTTTTTCTATTTACTTATCTATGCTTTTAATAGCATTAATATAAAAACTTTCACTCAATAGTTTACATATGTATATATATATATATATATATATATATAGATTGTCTAATATCAGTCTGGAAAATGCACACTCATCTTCTATGACCCATGTTGGATGGTAAACAGATTTCTATCCTTCCAGTGTTGTCATGCCCTTCGGATGGTGGCTCAGAAACTAGATAAAGCTTTCTATTTGTAGTATTGTAGATGAAGCTATTTGGTTAGAGGAAGTTCCTTAATGTGTTTTTCCTTTTACATAGACACCCCCCACCCCCCCCCGGTTTAAACTAAAAAATTATTTTTAATTGGTTTGACCTATGAGAAAATTTACACTATAAATTCATATACTCTCGTTTAAACTAAAAATTATTTTCCTTTTACAGAGTATTATAAACTATACTCTAAAACAATGATTAATATATTAATTAAAATAGCTATCTTTCTATAATATATAATATTTATACCATAAGTGAAAATACTCAGAGGAAATAATTAAATTTCAAAAGTTTAAAATGTTAACTTATACATGGATTTAAAAAATTGAATGGAAAGACCCATTTATTTGACAATAATTTAGGGATATCCAAAATTATTTGTTCCTTGTAGAAGACGAAAGTGTTAATATGATTATAATTTAGGGGCTCGAAAGTATTTTACTCTTTGAATTTATCAACTTGTGATCGGAAATCATTCCCACCTAACAATTCCACTATTTGCAATACTAAAAAAAAAAAAAAAAAAAAAAAAACGGAAATCATCCCACCTAACAATCCACTATTTGCAAAACTAAAAAAAAAAAAAAAAAAAAAAAGAATCTTATGGTTGTCATATCATAGAAAATTTATCAGAAAAAGCCCCATTTTGCTTATTGAATTTGTTTCAAATAATTAATTTACCCAAAAAAAATCAGCTTTTTAGTAAAAAATCACTCCAAAACTTGTTCAATTATAGCCAATTCACCCCTTATTTGGACTGAAAGCAATGCGTGATTATGAAGCGGTCAACATAAGTTAAAAGAATTAATATGGAAAAGCCTTTGAAACCTGATAAAGTTGTCATTGTCCTCCGTTGCTGCGTCGCGCATGCACGGCGATGATCGTCCGATCTTTCAAAGAGGACACTCGTGATCATCCTTATACATAGCCACTACTTTGTCTGTTGATCGAATTAAATTGTGTTTAAATATCTAATTGGTTAATACAAGGTCAAAGAATTAATAATTTATATAGCTTTTAATGATATGAATAAATTATAATTTATATACATATTTTAATGGTATGAACAGTTATTGTTGTATATTAATTTCAGAATATATTATTTGAAAATAAATTGAATAATTATTTATTTATTCAATTACATTGTGATAAATATAATTAATTAATTATAACTTTAGACAATTAATAACATAATAAAATGATGATTTATATAAATTTAAATTATTTAAAATAGATTACTTCCTTCTTGTACTTTCATAGTATGAGGAGGCATTTTTTATATTAATTCTAAAATAAATCAAAAATTTTAATGAATGTAAATTCTACAATCTTTTATTTCACATTTTTTTCTTTATTTATTTCTATAAATTTTACCATCTATTAACCTATAATAAATACCTGTCTATCTATTAATTTTCTTACAGCTAAACAATCACCGCTACATATTTTACTATTTATTTATCTACATTCATATATTTTAATAGCATAATATAAAAAACACTATTTGAAGGATCGCAGTTGTTTCATTCATTAATTCGGAAATTAATACATCAGACAATATTAATTCAATGAATGATTTTTTATATTAATTCTAAAATAAATCAAAAATTTTAATGAATGTAAATTCTACAATCTTTTATTTCACATTTTTTTCTTTATTTATTTCTATAAATTTTACCATCTATTAACCTATAATAAATACCTGTCTATCTATTAATTTTCTTACAGCTAAACAATCACCGCTACATATTTTACTATTTATTTATCTACATTCATATATTTTAATAGCATAATATAAAAACTTTTACTCCACAGTCTATCAACAATTTATTTATATTCTTTTCTTTAATTTTTTTTTTTCTTAACCGTGCTATAGGGCTATTGCTAGTTATAAGATATGATTTGCCTATATCAATTTATGCACCACCTATATACCAAACCAATTATAAAATAATTTTTTAAAAAATTACTATATCCTTATTTAAACCAAAAAAATTATTTTTGATTGGTTTAATATATTGATGGGTTCATACATTGCGTATAGGTAAGTCAATCCGGTTGAAGTTTATATAAATATATAGACAGCAATTCATAACTTCATATGTATATTTACAAATAGGAAGAAGAAGAGAGAGATGGAAGGAAAGTTTTCCTTTGTGTGGGCTATGATCCTTTATGTTATTATGATAGCACATGCACAAGGAAACTACTACTCTGAAAGCATTCCTGCTGACTACAACCAACAGAAAATTACCAATCTCCATTTCTTTTTCCATGAAACAGTTAATGGAAAACACCCAAGTGCAGTACAGTACAAACAGTACCAATAGCCCAAGCCAAAAATAGCACCGGGACACTGTTTGCCATTAATGATGCTTTGAGGGTAGGTGTTGAACCAACCTCACAAGTCATTGGGAGAGCTAAAGGGCTATATGTGATAGCTGGCCAAGGAGATGACTTTTCTTTGGTTATGTATGTGGATTTTGGTTTCATAACAGGTAACTTTAATGGAAGTTCTTTTATTTTGTGTTCAGAAAATCCTGTAAACAGAGACAAAACGTGAGCTTGCTGTGGTTGGTGGGCGAGGGCAATTTAAGATGGCTAGAGGATTTGCAGAACTCTACTCACGTTACTTTAATGTCACTGCTGGTGATGCCATTGTTGAGTATACTGTGACCTTGTTTCATCATCATTAGTAGTTAACAACCTTCGAGGAAGACCCTTTAGGCATTAGCTATTTGCTTCTTCATGACATTTGTGAGATCCCCTAGCCTAAATTGTGCTCGAAATAATTTCAGCTCCTTCTTCTTATCTTTTAAAATAATAAATTATCCTTTGGGTTTTCTGTAATGAGCCACATGAAGTATGAAACTTTCATGTGCAGACAAATTTAATATATAAACTTGAAAGAAAAAAGAATGCCAATATAGTATTTATATGTAGTCAATTGAAATAGGAGAAATATATTATTCTATAAACACAAAATACTGATGGAAAACTTAATGAGAACTTCTATTCCCTAAAGGTCATAACTTGAAGCATAGAAATGCGCAACTATAACAAATTTTTTAAATATTAATGAAAAAATTAGTGAGAACTTATATTCCGTTAGGGTAACAATTTGAAACATAAAAATGCATACATAAAAAAATGTTGAAAAAAATTATTTGAAATGATAGGTGAAAATATAAGTAAATCCAAAAGTCATTGTCATTAACTCTCTATGAAATTATTAATAGATAGACTTTTAATTGGGAAACATATTTTTTTCTTTAAAACCTACAATTTTTTCCTCTAATTAATTAAATAACGATCTTCAAATCTTCTTAAAGAACTGTCCATGTCAACACCCAACAAAAATCAAATAGTTCTTCTTTATATATATATATATATATATATATAATGATTTGATTTCGGATTCACAATAAGCAAGTTCAGGGGAAATTCATTAATGTATATATGTTCAAAAAGTACTGTAACGAGCTTGTTGTGGGTGGTGGGTGAGGACAATTTAGGATAGCTAAACGGTTTGCTAAATTCTATATGCGTTACTTGAATGACATTAATGGTGACGCCATGTCACCTTATTACTAATTAATCACTTTTTTTTATCCAAAATATAAGTCGTTTATAAATTGATTATTTTATCTTAAAATATAAGTCATTTTTTAAATATTTTAAGGTGTAATAAATTATATATATTATCCTTATTTATATTGGATAAAACCCTTGGGTTTGACATCAAATTACTCTTCGTTTTGCTATAACTAGTCTTTTCATGATATGCGTTGCATGTTGACTATGGGCAGTGGAGACAGTTTTCCAAATGCAACTTGTGGAAGTGGTGTGTGTGATGTGGACCAAAGTGAGCTAAGCAAAGAACCTATTTAAGGAGCAAAGAAAGGAGTTGTAGAGGTTACTCTCCTTGGGCAGTTACTGCCGTGTATGAGAAGAAGGAGTAGCCAATCAAAAGAATTCCAAAAAAAAAAAAAAAAAAAAAAAAAAAAAAAAAAAAAAAAAAAAAAAACTGTTAGCACTACGTGTTAACTAACAACACAAAGGGAGGAGGAGGATTTTTGCAAACTTGGAACGTGGACAACAAGGCCAACCATCAATAAATTTCAAAGTTTGTTAATTATGTTTTTTATTCATAACAAAATTAAATAAAAACTAATTTAAATAAATTAAAAATACTAAAAATCTTAATAAAAATTATATTGAAAATACTATAAAAATAACACAATCAAATATATATAAAGTAAACATCTTTTCCTTAGAAAGTGCAAATAGCTAAAATTTTTAGTGCCACGTAGGATTAGAAAAAAATGGTCAAGGTTAAAAATTTTCAAAATCACATTTGAATGTATAAACAAAGATTCAAAAGTTGGAAACCCTCATTTTGGAATGTACTTGGAAACAAGTATTCGTCATTTTAACACTCTTTTCAAAGAGTAAAAAAATTTCCATAAATTGTTATTGGATTCCATAAATGACGTGTTCTCTTATAATTTTACATAGACCATATGGGATACATTTTGAAAGACCTTTCATTTTCTATCTCCAAATATATTAAAAGGTTTCCTTTCTAAACAAGTTTATAAAATCATCTCAAGTTAAGGAAGTTGGTAATATTGTTAAACAAAATTTTATTGGTCGCCCATCTATAGCAAATCAACGGAGTATATAATAAAACCATCTAATTTATTGAACCTATGCATTGATTATTTCAAAATATACAAAAATGTAAATTCGATATATAGTTAGTATTAAAATAATAATTTTCACATTTTTAACTGTCTAATAGGTTTTTAGTTGACCTAATTTTATAAATTAAAGTGCTCGATAAAATAATTTTGTAAATTAAAGTGTTTAATATATATAATTCTATAAGTTAAAATATTTAATAAGTATAATTACCTAAATTATACAAACAGTCACCTAACTTTACATTTAATTTTATAAGGTCACAGAATTATAGTTTGTCAATTTTCAATCGCTAATTTTGATTCTTCTTAGGAGGTTACCGACTAGAATCCCATCATTGAAGATATTAACATGGTACTAAAAATAAAATATTTCATTTAAAAAAACATATTTTCTCCTAATATTTTTTGTATCACACCCTACTTTAATAAATACTATTTTTTTCCTTATTAATAAGTCTCCACAAGAGACCGCTATCATGGTAGTATAATTGTTTTTATAACTTAACGTGTTAAATTGAAATACTCCAGATTATTTGCTATTGAAGAGAACTTTTTAAATTTGAAGTTTATTTGAATTTATCAACTTGTGGTTGAAAATTATTCCCACCTAATAATTCCCCTATTTGCAATACTAACAAAAAAAAAAAAAAAAAAAAAAAAAAATAAATGCCCCTATTTGCAATTCTAGCATAACAAGGAATCTTATGATTGTGAATATCATAGAAAATTTATTAGAAAAAGGCCTTATCTTGCATTTTGAATTTAGTTTAAATAATTTAATTTACCCAAAAAAAAATCAAAATTTTTTAGGTGAATTACTCCCAAATATATCTACATATAGCCAATTCACCAATTTTTGGACAAAAGACTGCGTGGTTTCACGCGGTTCAACAAATTTGAAGAATTAAGAAATATTCATTAAGAAAACTTTAAAACCTTATAAAGTTGTCCAATTGGTCCTCTATAAATAATTCTAAAATAAATAAAAAAAAATTTTAAATGACTTCTATTTTAATTATCTTTTATTTATATTCTTTTTTCTTCTGTTTATCTCTATGAATTCCTCATCTTTATCCTAATAAATAACAATGTCTGATCTATTATTTTAGAAAAAAATTATAATATGATCCTTGGTGGTTTGCGAAATATATCAGTCTGCCTTGTCTTCTTTAAAATATAACTAATTTGTTCTTTAACATTTAGTTTTCTGTTACCACTATTAGGTCATTATGTCCAATTTTGCATATTTTTCTATTAAGATCAACAAGAAAAACATAAAGATCAAAGCAGATGTACTATAATATTTTATAATACAAAAATTTTACAGTGCAGTCCTTTATAGTTTGAAAAATATAACTAGTTTCATCCCTGTGTTTTTTCAAAATAAAAGGGGAATTTTCGTCATCTTATAAGATACTTACAGAAAATGCAAAAAGTTTAAACAAAAGGAAAATCTCATGGTCTGACGAAATGAAACTATAAGGAATTGTAGTCTATTTTTTAACAGAGACAGACTAGTTGTATTTTTCCAAGTTTATGTAACTGTTGTTATTCCTTAATTCTATTGCAAACCAACAAGAATCAATGACATTTTTTTTTTGCTATTTTATTTATCCTATGTTCATACTTTAAATAGCATATATAAATTTATATATATTCTTTTCTTTAAGTTTTATTTATTTTTCTTAACCGTATTGCGTAAAGATATGCTAGTATATGAATGACTGCCTCACGAGTTTATGAAGACACTTATATATCAAATCAATTAAAATAATATTATTTTTTTTAAAAATAGTTTATCAAGTTTATTTTTTTCCTAAGAATTATCAGAAATAACCCTCGTAAATCAATAGTTTGGTATATGAGATGGATTCATGGAACCCCAGCGAAAGGTAAGTTCCTAAAGTAATATATGGTACGCACAATTCTCATAACTTTAATATGTACATTTACAAAATAAGAAGGAAGACAGAAGAGAAAGATAAAAGAAAGATGAAGGAAAATTTTCCTTTATGGGTGGGCTCTGATCCTTTGTGTTATTAGATAGCAAATGCACAAGGAACTACTACTACTCCAAACCAATTCCCGCTGACTCACAAGAAAAATGACCAATCTCCATTTCTTTTCCCATCAAACAATTAATGCAAAACTCCGAGTCAGTACTAGTAGCCCAAGCTAACAAGACCATCCCGTTTTACATTTGGGTCCACTTTTGCCTCTATATGATGCTTGAGGGTAGGTGTGGAACCAAGTTCAGAAAGTCATGGGAAGAGCTACAGGGCCTATTTTGTGGTAACTTGGCCAAGGAGCAGATTCGTTTTGGTTTTTTATATGGATTTTGGTTTCACCAACAGGTAAGTTTAATGGGAAAGTTCGTTTGTTTTGGTGCTCAAAGATATGTGACCGAGACAAAACGCGAGCTTGCTGTTGTCGGTGGCGAGGAACACTTAGGATGGCTAGAGATTTGCAGAAGTTATACACGTTACTTTAATGTCACTACTGTTGAGTCCATCACTGAGTATAACGTGACGTTGCTTCATTACTTAGTTAAACAACCTCGAGGCAGCCCTTTAGGGCATTTATTAGCTATTTGCTTCTCATGAGATCCCCTGGCCCAGATTGTGGTTCCTTCTTCTTATCTTTTTGAAAAATAATAATAATAATAATATAAATTATCCTTTGGGTTATCTGTAACGAGCCACATGAAATATGAGATGTTTTATGTGCCAGAAAATTTAATATATTAACTGTCTTACTTCTTCTTCCTGTTATAAATTTAATTTACTTTTTTTTTGTATTTTTTAGATATCTACTCTAATCTGTGCTTGAATTTATCTAAAGTTGTTGCAAGCTCATAATAGATGCATGAAATGAAATTCTTCAAGCATATTTCTAAACAACAAAGACAGGACACATATTGGTTTTCAATATTAATAATACGCTCCGGAATAAGATAATTATAATAAAAATAATTATTTCAGCAAGGATCTGTTTAAACGATTAAAGCAATAAAATTATTTAAGAGAATACTTTTTTTTGCAGATTCTTCAAACTTAACCTACGCGGCTAGATTATCGCAAACCATAAGCCGTCCAATTGTCCGGCCTCTAATAATATCTACACGAATGAACAATTGAAA